GGGGAGGGAGAGAGGATGAGAGCACAAATGGGGGAGGGGCAGAGAGAGAGGGAGACAGAGAATCCCAAGCAAGCTCTGTGCTGTCAGCACAGAGTATGACGTGGGGCTGGATCTCATGAACCATGAGATCATGACCTAAGCCAAAATCAAGAGGCGGATGCTTAATCAATTGAGCCACCCAAGTGCCTCCTTAATCACCTCTTTAAAGTCTCTGTCTTCAGGGGCGCCCGGGTGGCGTAGTTGGTTAAGCGTCCGACTTTCGCTCGGGTCATGATCTCGCGGTTCGTGGGTTCGAGCCCCGCGTCGGGCTCTGTGCTGACTGCCAGCTCAGAGCCTGGAGCCTGTTTCAGTCTGTGACTTCCTCTCTCTCTGACCCTCCCCTGCTCACGCTGTCTCTCTCTCTCTCTCCTAGAAATAAATAAAACATTAAAAAAAAAAAACCATAAAGTCTCTGTCTTCAAATACAGTCACATTCTGAGGTATGGAAGGTTAGGACTTCAACATATGAATTGGGGTGGGAGTGGGGGGTACAGTTTGGCTCATAACACTATCTCAAAGGGCTACTGTGAAGATTGAATGAGACAATACACATAAAACAAAGATCAGGAGACCTAGAATGTTGCAAGACCTTATCAAATGTTCGACGTAACTGAACACTTAATTTAGGCATAAAGGTATCCAGCAAGCTATGGATCTTTCTTCTCTAGTATATTGGCTGCAAGAAGCCTTGAGGGCTTCTCTTCTCACCCAGGTGCTCAGTGCAGCAGCATCCTTGCCTTATGGTCTAGAGTCCTCATCTCATTCCCACAAGTGTTCCATTCTGCTCTGGTCCCTCCCCAGGGTCAAAGAGAAGTTCTTTCTGTAGAGAATTCTCCAACTTTCTTCCTGTCACCGCTCTAAGGGTAGTTTTTAAAACAAGGACACATTCTGTGCCACCTACTCACAGCTCGACAAGTGCTTTTCCAATACTGCTGCTATTTCTCATCCTTGGGCAAGCCACTTATTAAAATTTAATGACAATCACTTGCATTTATAAAGCCATTTTCAGTTTACAAAGCTCTTTTCCATCCATTATCTCTTTTGATTCCCACAGCATCTGCAGGTAGGAAGTATGTTTTTCTCCATTTTACAAAGGAAGAAAATAAGGCTCTGAGGAGTTGCATCACTGTCCAGTGGCAGATATGAGCCTCACATTCTGGTGTTTTCATTCCATTATGATAGGAGGAGCTCACCTATTCAGGCATTCTTCTATAATATAAACAACCCATTATCCCAACCATCTCATCCCAAGGCTAGCATAGTGCTGTGCAGCACATTACAGGAGAACTTCACTTATTTAACTGTGTGGGTGAATAAATGAATCAGAGTGATCAGTCAGTTGGTAGGATCAATCCACCTCTTTGTTCAAGTCAGTCCCCTCATTGGCTTCTGTTCTCTGTCTGCCAAGTGAGGAAAGGTGTAGCATTAGACTCTTTCTACAACCCCTTCACTCCAGAATCTTAGGATTCTCAGGAAACAACCAGGATGCCCTCAGCAAGGAACCCACGGAGGGGAAACCAAATTTACCAAGCACTCTGTGCGCACACGAGATGACGTCACATGAGTCTGAGTTGCCCAAATTGTGGAGCCCATTTCATGGGCCTCATCATTCCGTTTTAAAATTTGGGATAGAGGACGCCTGGGTGGCTCAGTCGGTTAAGCGTCTGACTTCGGCTCAGGTCATGATCTTGACGTTCGTGGGTTTGAGCCCCGTGACAGGCTCTGTGCTGACAGCTCAGAGTCTGGAGACTGCTTCTGATTCTGTTTCCCTCTTTCTGCCTCTTCCCTGCTCATGCTCTGTCTCTCTCTGTCTCTCAACAATAAATAGATGTTAAAAAAATAAAATAAAAGTTGGGATAGAGAGATGGCAGCATGGTAAGAAAATCCTAGGCTCATCTCTTTTTCCTCCAACACAACCAGATAACTGTCAAATCACTCTGAATACCCAAGAAATCAACCTGAGGACTGACAGGATAAACTCCACAACTAGAGAGGGAGTGAAGAGACCACACTGAGAACGGGAATTTATAGGGAAATATGTACTTTATGGAATAAATTTAAAGAATTGAAATATATATTTTATTTTAAATAAAGTAACATCTTTAATCTTACACAGCTAAATTGACTACATATTTGCTGAACCGACTCAAGGGTTTAGAAAATTGTATCGTGTTTTATTTGTTTAGAGTTTATTTATTTATTTTGAGAGAGAGACAGCGAGAGAGAGCACGTGTGTGGAGGATGGGCAGAGAGAAAGGAAGAGAGAAAATACCAAGCAAGCTCCCTGCTGTCAGCATGGAGTCCTACACAGGCTAGATCATGACCCAATGCAAAATCAAGAATCAGATGCCTAACCTAGGTGACCTCCAAGAGTTTTACTTTTTTTGTTTCAAAGCCTTCTTAATAAACTCTCTTTTTCTATTTTTTTTCTGTTTTTACTAAAAAAATAAAATTGGGGATGGAAATAAAACTACCCATTTTTTATTTTGCCAAAATGAGGACATTTTAAAAAACTATCATCAAACAAACTTAAGAAAAAATTAACTATCATCATTTTTTTAAAATGGAATTTTTACACTAAGAAAGCAGGAAATACTCAATCTCAGGAAAAAAAAAAAAGAACAGTGTCTCTCCTGGAAAAGACAGTTGGCAACCTTACAAAATTATTTTTTTCTGAAGATAGATGCAAATTTCATCAGACTGACCCCTCTGTACAGTGTTGTGTTTGGAAACCCACTAACAGATTATTTCCAACCCCACCCCTTTCCCTCACATGCTTGAGAAGTGGGGATTAATCTGCCCACTTTACATATGGGAAAACAGGTTCAGAGAGCACAAGTGCAAGGTCACAGAGGTAGTAAAGAGTAGTCAGGGTTTGTCTGGGTTCCAACCCAGATCATCTTGGCAGGTCCTAAGCCAAGTTATTCCCCTTCAGGGAAAGAAATGACCCTCACTGGCTCCCTTTGAATGCCCCCAAGGTGTTCTTGGGTCTGACTATGAGCTTGGATTTGGACGCTTTGTTCTTTTTTTTTCCTTTCATAGTTTATTGTCAAGTTGGTTTCCATATAACACCCAGTGCTCATCCCAAGTGCTCTCCTCCATGCCCATCGCCCTTCTTCCCCTCTCCTCCACCCCCATCAGCCCTCAGCTTGTTTTCAGTATTCAAGAGGACACTTTGTTCTTTAACACGTCTTATTGATGTGCTCACTTCATAGCAGGTACTCGGAAGAGTGTAGGGAGGGAAACCGACTTGTTCCCAGCCTCCTTCCCTCTTGTCCCGCATACTCACCCTGGGTCTTGTTCTCCAGGCCCAACTCCTTCCGCTGGTGGCCAATGAGTCCCTATTGCGGGCGTGGGAGGCTAACACTTTAGGGGGTTCCCTTTCCCAGGTTTCCAAGGAGACTCTGGGAACCTTCAATGCCTTTAAGACCCAAAAGGCTGGAAGTGTAGCGGCGCAACCTGAGGCACTGTGTTAGGTCGTAGGGAAGGTGATTTGGGAGCAAGAGAGCAGTTCAAACCCTATCAAATAATACTCCATTCGGCGCCTCCCCCATTCCCATGGGCTCTGCGGGGACCCACAGCCGCGCAGCTCAGGCTGGAAGAAGTGGGTCCCCCAAGTCAGAGACCCCTACCGTGGAAAGGGCTTAGTGCTCCAGCTGGGGGACCTCTAGGACCGTGCCCACCCCTTCCACTGACCGCCAGGACCCGGAGAGCCCCTCCCCCGTTCCGCCCCGCCCCGCACGCTCGCGGCGGGAGCGCGCCTCCGCCAAGCCGCGCCGGTGCCCGAGAGCGCGCGCCCCGGCGCGGGAACGCGCCCCGGGGAGAACCCGAGCAAGATGGAGGCCGCGCCGAGGCCGCCTCCTGGGCCGAGGCTGCCGCTGCTGGGAGCGCCTAGCCGGGGCGCCTAGGCCGTGCCAGTCCCGGACCCACTGCTCTGAACCGGGCCCAGGTTGGTCTCCCTGCACCCCGTTCCCGCGGCCGTAGCCTCCGCGCGCGTCCGGCCTGGGAGCCGGGAAGCCGCCCCCCACCCCCACCCCCACCCCGGCCCGGTAGCTCCCCAGCGCCTGGGGGATAGCCCCTGCCCACTTCCCGCCCCTCGAGGCCCGAGCTGTCTGCCGGCCCTGGTCCCTCGTCCCCTTGGCCTGGAAAACCTCTCTCTCCTTAGCCCTGGCCCGCCAATCCTAGGTTCCCCCCCCCCCACCCCCAGCCTCCATCCAGTCCTGTCTTCTGGGAGACCCCACAAACCCCTGTCCCGTGTTCGGATTCTGCAGCCCCAGCGCCCGGCTCCCCACTGGCCTTATCCTGATTCCTCCACTTCTCCCTCCCTGTCCCAGCCCCCGTATCACCTTCCTAGGCCCCTGTGTACCCTCCTCTTACCCCTCATAGAAACACCAACCTCCCCCTCCACAGCGCTTTTCTAGACACCCAAGACCAGACCTTTCACCCCTAATACCGGTCCCCCAATTCCCTTCCAAGCTCCGTATTTACAGCCTCTCTGCTAATATCCCCCAACACCGGTCCACAGCTTCAATTCCATCTCCCCATGGTCCTCTCCTACTCCACCAATTCTAGTTCCCAAATCCCCTTCCCGACACCCCCATGACCACTTTATAGCCAGCCCCCACTTCCGTCTCCCATATTCACATCCCATCCCCCCCATCCCAACCCCCCCAACTTTCACATGGCCTCTCCCTAGGTCCAATTGGAGATCTTTGCCCCCCCACCCCCACCCCAGACACCGCCCCAACAATCAAGACCCCCTCCTGGCTCTTCCATACTACCCTCTAGGTCCCCCCAGCTCCGCCCCAGGCTCCGCCCCCGAGAGTTCCTTGGCTCAGGGCCGCTTCTCGCGTGCGTCCCCAGCTCCCGCCCGCCCGGCAGCCCGGCAGCCCGGCGGTCGGTCCCGGGCCGGCGGCCCCCGCCCGCCGCCGTCGCCGCCGCCGGCCCCGCCCCCGGGCACCATGCTGCCCTCGCAGGAGGCCTCCAAGCTCTACCATGAGCACTACATGCGGAACTCGCGGGCCATCGGCGTGCTATGGGCCATCTTCACCATCTGCTTCGCCATCATCAACGTGGTGGTCTTCATCCAGCCCTACTGGGTGGGCGACAGCGTGAGCACCCCCAAGCCTGGCTACTTCGGCCTCTTCCACTACTGTGTGGGCAGCGGGCTGGCTGGCCGCGAGCTCACCTGCCGCGGCTCGTTCACCGACTTCAGCACCATCCCGTCCGGCGCGTTCAAGGCAGCCGCCTTCTTCGTGCTGCTCTCCATGGTGCTGATCCTCGGCTGTATCACCTGCTTTGCGCTTTTCTTCTTCTGCAACACGGCCACGGTCTACAAGATCTGCGCCTGGATGCAGCTCTTGGCAGGTAGGGGAGAGGTGGGGACGGGACCCCTTCCAGGACCTCTTCTTGGAAGGGTCAGAGGTAGATTCTGCTCTTCCGTCCAAAGACACACCTCTTTGGCTGTCCCTCAGCAGCCACTGGGGAGGGGATTTATGAGAGAGCGAGACACCTTGGGGCAGGAGGCAGAGCCTTAGAACTGGGTCTTTGAGTCTGTGTGCTTGGATATGGGCAGACTGAATTTAGTGATGGGTTAGTGTTATGTTAGAGTCTCCGAGGGTCCCTGAGAGTCTCGCGTGGCTGTCTTAGGGGAAATAATGATCTGAATGAGAAGTTACCCTAAGAGTGAGCAATTTCTGTTGTATCAGAAACGCATGAGATGAGGGAAATCAAGAGATCTGACTTTGACCTTTATCTTGCTGACATTATCAACTTGGGGGTTTCACTTTACCTTTCTGAGGCCAGGTTTCCTCATCTGTAAAACAATGAAGAGGATTCCAAGAACAAAGGAAATAGTATCTTGTAAACTTTAAACTTCTGTATTAAGATAAAGGAGGGTAAGAAGAGGTTGTCTATAGTGTCTATCCAGTGTTTGCAATGTGGGTGGTTGACAGAATTTGGCAACATGGGGGTCTTGGGAGGGCAGATCTCCACCTCCTGCCCCCGCCCAATGCAGGAAAGGTTCTGGTGCTATGCCCAATGGGAACGAGTCCCTGGGACCCTGTGAAATGTTTAGCTAGGACAGACATCTTACCCTAAGAACCAGAGAAAGGCCTTTTGGAAATAAGAACTGCTGAGACTGTATTCCAGGATCCATTAGAGTCCCCACCTCCACCTACCTTTTGATCGATGGCAGATTTTGAAGATTCAGCAACTTGGGCATTTGCCTAATTGCAGGCAGGGAAGAAAGTTGAGTTGGGGAAAGTGAGGCCAAGATATAGCAGGAATGGGGGAGGAGGGCTGGTGAAGGCTAGGAAAAGTCTGGAGCCCCCCAGGGGTGAGAAAGGGAAGGGAAAACGTGATGATGTGCAGCAGAGATGGTCTTTCAAAGTAAGCACCTCAGGGCATTCAACAAGTGTGGGCCTCTTCAAAAGAGACTCTCTGCAGGAGGTGTTATATCACTTGCTGATGATTCCACTGCTCAAAACATTGGAGGGAATTATCTTTGGAGTGTGAGGTGTGTTCTCTTGAACATCATTATTGAGGGAAACCTCCATCTTTTAAAGGAGAATATGACTTTTGGAAATGGCTGAAAGTCACTTAGGGCCACGTATAGAAAATACAATATCAAATTGAGAATTGTCACCTGAGATGAGAGCCAAGGTGTGAGGGCAAAATCATGAGAATGGTTTGCTTCCCCAAGAGGACTTTTACAAATAGAGGGAGGAATTACTATCCCATTGGAAGAGTTTCCCGTATTCTCAAAAGGACTACTTTGAAGAAAGCCTTGTTAATTCAGAGGAAGACATGCTAATGAGCTTGTTTCAAATCTGTCTCACTCTGTCTACTTAGATGTGGGTCTTTCATGGCCTTTGAGGCTGAGAAAGAAGAATTGTAGGGGGTGGGAATTATCTCTCCATATTTCTCAGTGGTACCCAGAAGGCGATTTTATCTATTTTCATTCTATTATTCCTCCAAAGGCAAGCTGGAAAGAATACATAGTCATCTGGAATCCTCAATTCCTCGGCCTTAATTCGGAGTCTGCAGATAGGTTGCTGACCTCTTGGCCTTCCAAGTCTCTGTGGTTTATGTGGGTTTAATCTTAGGGATTTGATGAAGTGTCCCATAACTCCGTGTAATTATAGAATTTCAGGGATCATAGAGATCAGCTCCTTCAAATCCCACTCTCCTCACCCCCCATTTTAGAGAGAGGAGATTGAAACTAGAGAAAAGGTCTTACCCAAAGTCACACACAGTAAACTAGGTCTTGACTCCTGGCGCGGTGCTCTTTCCCTTGTGTTGTTCCCCATCTGAGGGCTGAGGAGGCCAGTTAGCAGAGTCGAGCAGTTTATTCCTTTTTGCTTAGAGATTTCTGAGTTCTCTGGGTAAGTGACTGATTTACTTTGTTTAAGTGACATCAGGACAGAAGCCAGAGCACTGGACTATGAGTCATGGGATGGGGTCTTGGCTGACTTTGCCTGGGTGATTTGCCCTGCAATGTTAAGCAATTGTTTTTAGCTTAAATCTAAGTTTTGTCACCCTTACAGTGGGAGACTAATCAGTTACATTAGTGAATTGAAAGTATCTCTTTCAGGCTTGTGGGTCTCCTAAAACAACACTTTCACTAAGATCATTCTATTCAGAAAGTAAGAAATCAGTCACTTTCAGAGGAACCACAGAGCAGCAAAGGGCCTGGTTTATATCAGGTAAGAGTTAGAATTCTTGCTCAAGTGAACTTTTATTCAAGTATTTTAGGCTCTTTTTAAAGAGTTTATTCATTTATTTTTGAGAGAGAGAGAGAGAGAGAGAAAGTCCCAGGCAAGCTCTGCACTGTCAGTACAGAGCCTGATGTGGGGCTTGAACTCACGACCTGTGAGGTCATGACTTGGGCTGAAGTCAGATGCTTAACCAACTGAGCCACCCAGACACACCTATTTTAGACTCTTCTAAGTGCAGAACACTAGACTATTGGGAAAATGTAGAGCTACCTATTTCTCTATTTATTCTTTACTTATTCTATGATCATCCCTGTGCTAGCTACTGCAATACCGAGATCATCCTGGTCGCCAGGGATTTAGGTCTGTACAGTGCAATTCTCACTCTCAGGAAGCTTACCATCTAGTTGGATCACTATAGTGGTCAGCATTCCTTCAGTGACAAGTGACAGATACCCAACTCAAGATGGCTAAAATAAAATAAAATAAAATAAAATAAAATAAAATAATAAAATAAAGAGGGTGGGGTTTTTGGCTTGCATACCTTAGAGGTCAAGAGCATCTTGCCTCAGGGGTGCCTGACTGGCTCAGTTGGTAGACTGTGTGACTTTTGATCTCAAGGTTGTGAGTTCAAGCCCTATGTTGGGTTAAAGAGATTACTTAAAAATAGAAAAAACAAAAAAAGTATCTTGCTTCAACTGTAGAGGGATCCAGATACTCAAATAATGCCATTAAGAATAGGTCTGTCTCCATTTCTTGGTTCCTCTGTGTCAGCTCATTTTAAAGTCCACTTCTCTCTTGAAGATGATAAATAAGGCTACTAGCTGCTCTGAGTTTACACTGCTTTAGCCTAGCAATACCTGTGGCAAAAGAACATCTGTTAGTCAGTGTTTCCAGCAAAAGTTTCAGGATTGATTCTCATTGGCTCAGGGTTTGGCCACAGGTTCACTATTTAGTTAATCAATGGACTTTGTCTAAGTCCTCAGCCACATGCCTATCCCTGGGACACATGGACTGATAGTGGAGAAAGGTCAGTTCCTAAAAAGGGAAATAAAGTGTGACCTCTGGTAAGACAGGTGCAGAAAGAAGTCTCACTCTGGAGGGTCTGAGCACTATATATGCTGGGTCATAAGTGCTGTGGAAGCCCAGGGCCTTGAGGAGGGAGCCCTTTAGCTGGCAGGTGAGGCTTCAGTGGAAAGTGAGGGTGTGGACAGGTATGAGGTGTGGGAGAGCATTCTGAATGGAGAGGAAGATCGAGGGCAGAGACACAGAAATGCGAAAGCCACATCTGGCTTGAGTGTGACATCCACATAGGGGAGCAGTAGAGGGAGAGGTGAGGAAGGAATGATGGGGTTACAGGGTGCAAATCTCTGAATACTGGGTTAGGAATTTGGGCTGTAATCGGTAGGCAGTTCAAAGTTACTATAGCTGTTATTATTATTCAGGAAAAATAGTTAACATTTCCTGAGCTTTCACTGTATGCTCGGCCATTTACATGCAGGGGTGCCTGGGTGGCTCAGTCAGTTAAGTGTCCGACTCTTGATCTCAGATCAGGTCTTGAGCTCAGGGTCGTGAGTTCAAGCCCTGCGTTGGGCTCCACACTGGGTGTGGAGCTGACTTAAAAAATAAAAAGGTAAAAAATAAACATTTACATGCATACTATTATTTAATCCTCACAACAGTCCTATGCAGCAGGTACTATTATTACTGTTATGTAGATGAGAACACTGAGCCGCAAAGAGGACTCATTTGTCCAAGGTCATACAGACAGCAAGGAGCGGAACTAGGATTGTAACTTGGTCTGTCTGAGTCTAAAGCCCAAGGACTTAGAAGGATTAATAAAGGAGCATTAATAATGGGAGCAGCGGCAGGAGGTTTTTGGCGTAAGATTCGAATATTAAGTAGAGAGGCTGGGAGCCCCACATGGCTCTTCATGGAGTTAGTGGTCACTTCTCATGGTCTCTCTGCCACTCTTGACCTGGTCTTTCCCACTTAGAGAGAACACACAATGTGCCAGCTTCCAGGCTAGACATTTTCATATCCATAATGTCATTTACTCTTCATCTGTTAAAGTGACTTGCCCAAAGGTCACACTTCTAGCAAAAGGTGGAGCTGACTTAACACAAGTCTAAATGGGTCTAGTACCTGTTCTTACCACCAAATTGGAACCTGGGGGAGGAATACAGAAATTACAAGGTGAGGCTCTCAGCTCTCTGTACTCAGTGTTTACCTGTGGGCCGGGTGAAGTTAGCCAAGGCGTGGGGGGGGGTGGGGTTGCTGGCTTGAGTAGACAGGCTGAAAGCCTGGTTGAGAGTCAAGGGTGCAGGGTGCGGTAGTGGTTTAGAGCAGAGGACTTAGAATACTCTCTCTGCTCCTTCCCAGCATGTGGCCTTGGGTAAGTGAGTTTTCCTCTCTGTGTCTGTTTCCTTTTCTATAAAAAAGAGATTATTATTATTTTTTAAGATTTTATTTTTAAGTAATCTCTAGCATGGGGCTAGAACTCAACCCAGAGATCCAGAGTCACATGCTCCACCAACAGAGCCAGCCAGGCGCCCCAGGGAGATTATTATTGTACTTATCTCAGAGGTGGCAGAAAGAAATAAACAAAATGTTGGGTGTAAAGCACTGAGTGTGTTTCTAGTATACAGTAGG